TTATATCTAAGAAGTTACACCCATTCTTGGTTTTTATATTTTGATAAGAATTTTGACTGCAATTAACCCAATGGTTTGTTAGATGGTTCAAATTCATGGGAAATATCCCACAAACCCTTCCTCCAAGGGTAAATGAAGGGTTTAAGAAGTTTAAAGAAATCTTTGTTCAAGAAGTCACCGAGTTTGAGTATCTTCTCCAATTTACAGTATTGTTCAAAATACCATGGATCTTGTCATGGACCTTTAAGGTCGTTGCTGCAAATAGATCTCCTCTATTATTACAAAGAATTACTAGAGTAAAATGGTGGGAAAAACTTCCTAAAGATCAATTGCAGAAGATGACTATTCAAAGAGTTCTCGACTATTATTCAATCAATTTTGATGCTCCGGCTTCCATTGCATCACCATCAAGCCAAAATAAAGAAGATGACGAAGTTAATCAATTTTTGGCTGCTGATTCAAGAGAAGAGCTTAAAAGACTTATTCAAGAAATCAAACAAGAAAGCTCTCCTTCAAGTTCAAACACCATCTCAGAAATTTCTCAAAATCTATATCAAGATGCTCAAGATCCCTATGAAGATCTTTAATCTTCAAGAGTTGTGTGTGTTTGGGTTATTGCTTTTGTAAGCAATTCTTTCTTTGTATCTTATCAAAATATATCTTATCAAAACATAAGAAATACACTCTTTGGTATTTCAGACAACATCCTGTTCAAAATTGTTATCTTATCAAATAATTGCAGGTTTACTATTCAAGAAAAAGACGTTAAAGCAAAAGGAGTTTTTCATATGCCATTTCCTATTCAAAAGAAGACTATATGGCATTTAATATTCCCAAAGAGACGTTAGAGTCAAAAGATTTCATATGTCAGTACAATTATAGATGGCTCTCAAAGTGCAATAATATATGGCTTTTCAACCGGTTTCGAAGTCAAAAATATCCAATAATTGCTCAAAATATAGGAAACGTGCCGGTCATTTATTCAAGAATCTATCTATAAAAGGAAATAGAAGTTCTCATTCAAGAGCATCCGAAAAAACCCTGATCACAAAAAACCCTTAGATAGAATGTTGTGTCTAAACAACATTCTCTCAAATTTTCTACTTCTCAATATTCAAAATCTTTAGATTTCAATCTTATCATTGCTTCAGATATATGTTCAAATTGTCTTAACGACAAATGTATTCAAGATTGTTTGATCAATAAAGGTATCTTTTCATAATTTTGCTTGCTTTTTCATTACTATATCATTACTATATCACTTATATATTTCTATTATAATTATAATGACCGATCTTGCAACAAATGAAGCCTTCTTTATTAACATAACTAATGATTTCGCCATAAGTTAAATCTTTGTAAGGGATTTGATTAGTGTACTTTTCTCTTAAAGTATTTCTTATTTTTTCTGCAAATAGATTGGGTAGTCCTGCAATAAACCTAATAACCGATCTTGCAACGAATGGTATCAGAGCCATGAACTATGTTCAAAGGGAGGCAATGAGTTATGTTATTTATATTAATGAATGCGTCCTAGAGATGAGTTTGTTCCATAAGAAAATGAAATTTTATAATGATAGTTAGATGTTAGCGTTGGTCAGCCTATTCTGGTCAGTGTTGGTAAGCCCGGTCGGTTGGATTAGTGTAAGAGGCGCAGTTGGTTGTAAGACGTCCAGCCGGACCACGACCATTCAAGCAGGGGCGGATCTACCTTAAGGTGGTAGGGGTCCTGGGCCCCCAACAAATTTTACCTATGAAAGCCCAATTTTTTTTTTTACTTTGTATTTTTTAACTAAATATATATGGGCCCCCAACAAAATAAGACAAGAGGCCCCTTTTCACTCTTCAGCCTTCTACTCTTCTTCTGTTCTTCATCGGATGCGAGTATGCGACCACGCCGACCAGGACCAGGACCAGCGAGCAGCGACCATCTTCTCTTCTTCTGACCGAGCGACCGACTGTGCTGCGACTCTGCTGTGTGTGCGACGAAACCCTAGCGGCTAGCGGCCTAGCCGACTGACCGAGCGGACGAGGCACGAGCGGTCCGAGACCGACTGTGCTGGCATGCTGCTGACCTGCTGTGCCTCTTGACTTGGGTAAAGATTCTAAATTTCTAATTTCTAATTTCTAATTCCAACTTCAAGTAGTAGTTATTTAGGTTAATTTTGTAATTTTTGTTGGTTAATTTTGTGGTAATTGGTAAATGCTTT